GTGATGGGGAGGGGGTTGGATGGGGGAGAAAGGGTGAAAAAGAAGAAAAAGGGGAAAAGGATAAGAGAAAGAGAAGAGAGAAATGATTGAATTGAGAGGAGAAAAGGAGGATGAATGACGATGATGATAACAATGATGATTATAATAAAAACTGATAATAATAATAATGATAATAATATTAATGATGATAATGATAATGACGATAATGGTAATACCGAAAACACTGATGAAAAACAGAGAAATGAAAAAAAGGAACAACGTAGAAAAAAATAAAGAAAAGTGAGGAGGAAAAAAAGGAGGAATAAAAGAAGAAGAAGAAGAAGAAGAAGAAGAGAGAAAAAAAAAATTTATTTAGAATGCACCCAACGTAGAATGAGGAATGAAACTACAATTATAAGGAGAGAAATGGGCTATTAAATGCGTGATAACAGAGATTTGACGGTAATTGATGATGATCAAAAAGTCATCTTCTGTATATTTTTTACATGCATCTATTTAACAATGAATGCGTTCATTGATGACTTTGAGGATGTGCTTGTATTGTTATCATTATTACTAATGTCATTATCATTATTACTATTATCACTGTCATCGTTGTTTTTTTATTATCGTTATTATTATTATTATTATTATCAATGTTATTATTATTATCATCAATGTTATTATTATTGTTATCAATGTTATTATTATTATTATCAATGTTATTATTATTATTATTATTATTATTATTATTACTATTATCATTATTATCATTATTATTATTATTATTATTACGAATAATATTAGTATCATTTATTATAGTAGTAGTAGTAGCGCTTGTATGATAATAGCAATGATAATAATGATAATGATAATGATAATGATAATAATTATTATCATTACTACTGCTATTTAGATTATTATTATTATTATTACTATTATTATTATTATTAGTAGTAGTAGTAGTAGTAGTATTGTTATCATTATCATTATATTATAATCATTATTATTACTGTTATTACTATTATCATTATTAGTATTATTATGGTATCATGATGATGGTGATTAGCATGATTATAACTGTTATTGTTAAGATAATCATTGTTATTATAATTATTAGTTATTATTACAATGGCAATTATTATTCTATTATTGTTATTATCATCATCATTATCCTTATCAACATTACTATTATTCTTTTTGCTATTATTATCAGTACAATTATTATTGTTGTTGTTATTGTTATTTTTTATATTATTCTTATTACTATTATTATGATTATTGTTATCATCATTATCTTTACAATCATTGTTGTTGTTGTTATTGTTATATTTTATATTATTCTTATTACTATTGTTATAATTATTGTTATCATCATTATCATTATTATTATCATTATTCCTGTTATTATCAACATTATCATTATTATCTTCATTGCGACTGTTAGCCTTATTGTTATTGTTATCATTGTCATTATTATCATTATTGATATCAGTATCTCTACATATTACACTGAGTCTAACGGACAACTCCTTAATGCTAAGTGGCAAGAAGCTTACCTAATCTTCAAGGACTTTTCTTAGGAATCTTATCAGAGTTCAGTAAAACACCCTTGTCTATCTCGGCCAAACTTGTCTGAATCCTAGTGTCTTTTTGTCGCATTTCGAATCCAGTTTGGCACAGCTCCTCGTGAACCAAATACGGATGTAACAGGAAGTATCAGGACGGTTGAGCTCCCCAGTGTGTTTATTCCTCGAAGGAGTTCTAGGTATATGGACATTTTTTTCCCCTCGCTTTGTGCCCCGTTGTGTTGTGGTGTGGAGTGGCAGCATCGATCGTTTTGCGTCGCTGGTTCTCTTTTTATCTGTTTTAATCCTATCGGGTTCTAATTTAGCTCTAATTCCGTGGTCAGTTTGGATGGAAGAATCTCATGGGTTTATTTTTTGGGGCCTTGCTTATCAAATTAGTTGGTTCTTAATGATAGCGTGTTTCTGGAATTTCGATGTTACGTTTCCTACAGACTTCTCCGTGAATCTACGCGACCTACGCGGTTCATGTCTTCCTGTAGTGTCCCTTTGTGCTAATTTTGTGGACTTGTTTGAGAGGCGAGTTTGTTATGCCTTCATCAACTTCCTGAAACAGCTTGGTCCGACTTTCTTCTCAAGATTTGTCTGTTTTACCTTTGATTCAATCTGTTTTCACTTCCTAGTTCTCGAACAGTTATTGCAAAGCTTTCCGTCTCCCTTTTAATTCCTGCTCCTCTCAGCCACTGTCACTGATGTTCTCTGCTGATCCTTTCGACTTTGATATAGACCGTGGGGTATGCTTGCCCTTCCAGCTTTCCTTCCTCTCAGTTTCTCGTCGTTAGCGTCCCTTTTATATTCATCTTACGTACTAATCCTACCGTAATTATTAACTTCTCTTAACTCTCTCGTACATATTCAGCCAGTCCAGCCAAGGCCTCTGTGACAGTACTTTCAGCTTCTTTCAAACTCTTCCCTTTTTGGTTGCCGTTGATGCTGTTGTTGTCATCATTATTATCACTATCTTTATCGTTACTATTACCATTATCACTATTATCGGCATCATCATTAAGATTGCCTTGTTTATTTTCAGGGTGATTACGTTAAATGATATCATTAAATATTTAAATTGTCATTACCATTGACATTATTATTCCATAACCACAAGTATTATTTGATGACAAGTTTCATAACCCATCCTACTGTCATGCAAG